TCCGGATGAATAAGATTAGAGCCAAGTAGAATGGCCAGATGTTAAGTGGCCAAGAAAGATTTGGATTAACAATGGTTGGAGAAATATAAATGAAGATCGATCGAAAGAAGTGAAAAAGGAATTCTCGATGAAAATGGTAAAAAAGAATGCGAATGAGAAGAGAAAGGCAACGGAATACATTTATGAATGGTACAAAAACTTAATTTTTAACAAAAAAGTAGCCGAAACGAAAGATATACGGAAAATCACGAAATGGCAAAAAGCAGGAAAATATTTAACAAAAATTTCATATTTTGCAGAAACATCTAATAAGCCGTCACTTCGAGTAGTGCGGCGTTTTGTTCCATTATTGTTGCATAGATGGAATGGTGGAGGAGAAGATGCAGGTGATAGTTTGAAAATTTTAGCAATAAGCATGCAACATTATGTGGCTTTATTTTTAGCTTTCCTTAAATTGAAAGAAATAAAATTTAATAGTCTTAAATAGTAATAAATAATTCAAATAATTGTTTTTTTTATTACTAATAACAATAATATTATTATTACTAATAACAATAATATTTGCAGAATTAGAAGAAAATCGACTATATGCGGTGAAATTAATTAATGCCAATCGATGCATAGAAGAAAAAATGACTGAATTGGATGATAAAATTGCAAAGACATTAATTAACAAAATACAATTTCGGGTAAATATTTTCCTATCAGTTTTTCCTATTTACTTTCCAATGTAAAGTATATCAGTTAAAAAAAAAACTCAAACATTTATTTAATTTGATATTTATAAATATCTGATAGTATTTTTGCCAAAAAAATTACTCAAGAAAAAATTTTTTGAGTAACTTTTTTTGCACTTACTACAGGAGGTACGAAATTTTTTGAAAGATATTCATATCGAAGTAGAGAAAAAAGTAACACATGACAGGTCGTTATCAATTGGTGAGGAAGATGGAATGAAATGGAATTCTTTTGAAATTATTCTTTTTTATTTACAAACAAAACCGGAATACTTCGCAAGATTGATGAGTAAATATGGCGTGAACGGTATGGTTTGAAATATGAAGGATGAATCAAACTTTGGTTCGATAAAATCTTTAGGAGTTATCTTCACTTGAAGAATTTGCAAATTTTTTTAATTTTGTTAGGGTTACGTTAAGAATTTTTTAGTCATTTATTTCTTTCGAAACATATAAATATGTTTCGAAAGAAATAAATTTCGACTTGAAATTTACTTTCTTAAATAAAGTCAACTAAAATAAAAGTTTTTTAAAAATTTTAACTTTTTGTTTCATAAAAAATTAAGTTTTTAAATTAATTTACACATCTCTTCCAGAAGATTAGATATCCATTGATTGGTGAATTAATATTAGCCAGTAATTATGAAGTAGAATAGCTACTAGAGTATATCAAAATTCTTGGATAAAATTTCATGCCTTCATCTTTCAGCATTGTCCGATTTATTCCGGAAATGCGAAATGCGTTTGATGATCGAAAAGCCAAACGATGATTCCGCTTTAGCAATCCGTAAAGCAATTAGCAAATTCATCGAATATAGTGTTTTACATTTTGTTGTAAGTAATCCAATTATTTTTTTCATATTAATTAGTATGTCGATTGGTATTTCCGAATATTTCCAAACTTGTTAATTAGTATTTCCGAAGCTGCTGGAAATTTTAAGAGAATAGTGATCAAAGAGCTTTAATTGCAAAATATTTGGTCTCAGAATTTAGATTAATTATCTGCTAAATTATATAAATCTAATAAACATATATCGAAAAATTACTTTATGATTCCTATTTGAGTACAGAAGTATTGTATGGATATGGAGTCGAAGAATTATTTCATTTTTCCTATTTGAGTATACAATTATTGTTTCTTTAAATACCAATGATTGCATGAAATATTTGAAACAAACAACAGTAATTAAGTTTTTTTGATAATTTATTGCTTTCTGATTTTTAAATAATCATTTTTTGTGTAAATTTAGCAAAAATTTTTTCATCCTTTTTCTTTTTTTAGTATGGCATTGGAAAGTATTGGTTAAATTCATTAAATTATGCTATTACGAAAATTAACGCTATTTCAAAGTAAATAATTAATGATTTATTAATTATTCTAGCAAAAAATTTTAATTAGCATCAAAAAATTCTGACTAATTAATCTTTGTTCCGCAAATTTTTCAATTTAATTTGATACCATTGACATCTTTCAGAACTTCAGAATTAACATTTAACAATTAAAATCATTCCAATTCAAATGAATTTCAAATTTTATTTTTTCATTTTGTTTCTTTCCCCTCTTATCAAAAATTTATCAGCCTTTTCAGATGGAATTTTATTAAATTTATAATGCAAAATCCGCCTGTATATAGTTATAACACTGAAGATGAGGAATGGGATAGGTATGGACCATACAAGCCTGTGCTTCATATAACATTGCGTCAACTTCATGTTATCCTTCAGCGATTTCAAAATGATCTCAACGAGGTGATATGCAAATATTGACAAAGATGTCTTCTATGTGTAATCTTTTAGTGAAATAATAATCTTTTAGTGATAAATTTCATCATTGAAAATGAGATAATTAACAATTTAAGTAATTTATTGTAATAATTTTTTTTAAATCATGAATTCTTTGGAATTACCTGATAATTTATCTAATTATCTATCTGCGATTTTTACACTAATTTTCTTTACCACTAAAACTTTTATTGTATTATTTTTGGTAATTAATAATAATTTCAGCAATATTATAATCATTATTTAACAAAAAAGGACTTAATTGATTGTATGAAAGATTATTTGATGAACTTTTTTTTTCGTTTCCAATGATATATCAAAAATTGATACACAAATCGTAGATAGATAATTAGATAAATTACCAGATAATTCCGAAAAATTCACGGTTAAACGGATTTATTACTGACACATTGCTACCGGATGATAACATGGAACAGTATGTGACACTTCATTTACATCCCTTTATATCGGATGAAATTGGAAATCATGACGAATTATTTAGCAGGTTACAATTTCATTCATTATCAATGTAATTCTTTCTAATTTATGGTAAAATTTAGTTCTATTCTTCAGATAACTATTGATAAAATTTTCGAAATTCAATCATTAACAGCTAATTCTTCTCAATTAATTGATTATCCATTAAAAGCGATTTTTTTTAGTTCACCAAAGATTACATAATAAAGTGAAAATAATCAAATAAGTTTTTTTTTTCGTTTTTTTTGTAGAACGATGAGATACATCGAAAAAATGCTTGTTATGTGGTTGTCCGGGTAATAATCTAACACAATTTCTTGCTCGTCATACACTTCAAAAAGAGGAAGAAAATTTCCGGAAACTTTTACACCAT